GGTTCAGCAACGTGCCTAAGCGCTTCGTCAGAAGACAGTACACCAGTCTGTGCAACAGGGAGCTCTCCCACTCACAGACGGCGCTCTGCAATGTGAGAACGCCTGATATCGAGCGAGCACCACTGCTCTGCCGTGCGGATGAAACCACAGCGCACTGCACTTCGCAGACACGCAGCACACAGGGCAGGCCAGGGCTGCTGCAGCGCCACAGCGCCCCAGAGTCCACCCCACGGCCGCCGCGTCCGGCACCCGTGTCGGCTCACGGACCAGCTCTTCAATAACAGGCAACTGTACTTCGAGGCCGGAAGAATTCCTGGGCTGAACCGTGACCCCGCCTTGCAGGAGTGAAAAATGGCTCTCCTCTCACACACAGGACAGTGACCGTCCTGGCAACTGCATACCTAACTGAAAAGGCCTCTCTTTTCTGTTTTGGCTGCTGATTTCCTGCTGGGGCCAGGGATACTCTCATCTCCTTTGGTGAGCCACTCAGGTAATTTTCTCTTTGAGGTTCCAGATGAAGTCTACAGGAAATAAAGATAAAAATAAATCTTCATACCACTGAGGATGTGAGTGGGCTGCAGAAACAACACGGTCCCCACGTATGCACCCCCTGCTCCCCAGCCAACCCAGCAGGAGGCCCAGTGGGGACATGCCAGACGTACCATGTGGCTGGAGGGGTGGAGGGGTGGGTGAGCCCCAGCAAGGTGAGACCCGGTCAAGGTACCCGCCCTCCTCCCTCACACATGAAATAAATACATAAAACCGAAAGAGAACTACTAGATAGCACGAGCAAAACTCCACTGTACGCCAGCAGGTGGCGTGCAGGTGAAGATGGCTCAGTCTCACATGGCTGACTCTACGGTTGGAAGTCCAGACCCTGAGGCTTGGAAATCTCACCAGGCGAGTGTGTGTGAGTGCCCCAAATTACAGGGACATGGAGAAGGGACTGTGACACGGCCACCCCCCAGGGGGTGATTTCTCACTTTCCCTTTCTCTTTCTCTGTCCTCTCTGGCGAGTGCACAAGGCCTATAGCAAAATAAATACATAAAAATAACTTATTTTTAAAAATCTGCCAAAAAAACACTAAAGTTTTTCTCAGGAAACTCAAACTGTCAGCAAATAATAAAAAGCCACTAGGGACCAGCAAATGGCATAATGGTTACATCGCTGGACTCCCACCTAGTTGACTGCAGTTCAAGTCCCCGACCCAGCAGCTTAAAACCCACGCCGGGCATGTGTGTGCCAAGATCCTGAGACGAGAATGGAGAAGGGACTGTGGTGTGGCCATTCCCCCAGGGCGATGTCTCACTCTGTCTGTCTGTCTCTCTGGTGAGCGCACGCACCCTATAGCAAAAACCTCTCTGAAATAAGAAGGCACGGCAGCATGAAGGCCCGTGAGGCAGCAGCGTGTCGGGGAAGGAGCCTCAACTCGGCAGGGCTGACACTCCTGGCGGGTATTTACAGAGAACATGGTCCTGTTCTCCTTAGCGACACGGACCGCCCACGGACAACTCCGTGTGCCAGCTCGGAGAGACGAAAAGCTTCTGGGCTGTGGTCAGCGTGAGCACGGGGACCCGGCTGACGCCCTACACTGGAAGCAAGATACAGAAGGACTGAAGTCCCCTACCGTCTTCTAGAAATCACTTTTCTCAGATCCTATTTTAAAAAGCAAAGCACACAGGGAAGAAGTCATCTCACAGCAGAGCTCCCGCACCTAACCAGCTCAGCGCCCAAGCATCAGAGCACGCGGGGCGCAGTGCACGGAGCTGCCACCCTCGGAACCGTGCCTACCTCTCCCCTGCTGCTCCTGGCGCTTGGACAGCTCTGCTCCGAGCGGGAGGGACATCCCTGTGGGCTGGAAGTCCGCGGAGGGCAGCGTGGCAGTCGGCTGTCACCCCCCTTCTGCAGGATGTCAATGGCCATGTAGATGAGGTAGGTGCCGATGTCCTTGGGGACCAGCGTCCTGATGAGCATCACTTTACTCATATCTGTGAGACACGGAACGACTCACTCTGAGTAAATTATTCTGAACACTTCAGAAAATCGAAGTGCTGGGTCAGTGAAACGTTCTGTGGAAAGGAAGAAGGAAGGTGGCCAGAGAACGTCCTCCACTCTGAACTGCCCACAGCCCCGCGGAACAGAAAGGGGTGAGCAGCCCGTCCACTCCCGAGTCGCCGCAGTCCTGCCTTCGCCATCCACGGGTCAGTCGGTGCCGAGGACCCTGCCCCAGCTGCGCCCTCACACTCTGCGTGGGCTGCCCTGGGAGCGGGAAACCAGCCACGGCTCTTTGTAAAGAAAACCGTGCTTCACATTCCGAACACTATTACAAGCGGTTTTTTTCCTGAAAACAACTTGGCCTTAAAATAGAAGCTAATCATTTATAAATATGCCTCTAAAAAAGGACCCTTCCAGGGCACGGCACCACAAAGACAGCAAGGTTGAAACGCATGCTATGAGTTCTCTGGGGCACTGTGCGTCTCATCTTCAGAGTCACGTGACTCGTCACTTTTCCTAACTCAGAACTAGCTCGGTCCCGTCGGCATCTTCACACTCCTCTGGTCAGAGTGCACCCTGCGGGCAGATGGCGGGGAGGTCTCACGCTGGCAACGCCACCTTCATCCCCGTGCTCCGGAGGCAACAGAACTAAGACGCTCAGAACCTACTCACTCATCTTCATCCTGACACCCGGTTCAAATCAGTAATCAGAAACGAAGAGCTTTTCAAGTTTATTACTTATCTCTTCCATGAGAGAAAGGCACCACCACGGGGCGTTCCCACCGTGAGCCACACCACGGCTGAGGGAGGTCCTGGAGGCAAACCTTCACCTTCCCCACACAGGTCTGTGTGCATCTGCCATGTGCCACCTGCTGGGGCAGCCACGCATTTTTTTTTTTTTTTGAGAGGTTTTCTCCTATAGGGCGCGTGCGCTCGCCAGAAAGACAGAGACAGAGAGACAGAAAGCAAGAAATCACCCCCCGGGGGGATGGCCACGCCGCAATCCCTTCTCCTCCACTCTCCTCTCAGGATCTTGGGCACGCACACACACACGCCCGGCATGAGTTTAAGCCACCGGGTCCAGGACGTGAACCATGGTCAACTACATGGGAGTCCAGCAACATAGCCATTACACCGACTGCTGTCCCAACAGCCACGCATTCTTAAATGCCACCCTGCAACGGTGGTCCACAGGTCATTACGGATTTTAGGCTCATGCTCTCCTTCTTGCCAAAGTCTTGCACTTGTTGCTCTGCTATCCGGATGTCCCGAACACACTACAGTTCAAAACACAAAGAGCAGAACCAAACCAAAGGCAGGGAGAGAATTACACGAGGACACTGCGTATCCAAGTGACTAGACCGTCAGGACGTCGGACTGGTGCTGGCGAAGCCTGAAAAGAGACACGAACACGTCTGTGGGCAACAGAGCTAGCAGCCGACCTTCATGGTCGTCGGAGATGTCACTGGTCCCTTGACTTCAAGACCCTCCCACCTCTGCCGAAACCCGCCAACCTCACTGCCTCATCACCATTTCATGGCCACAGAGGATCCTGGGAGGGCCAGGAGAGCTGGGCGAGTTCCATTTCTGTGCTCATACCCCAGAGCCGGGACACGGCAGCCACCACTGAGCATGGGGACCCAGGGACGATGCCTCACATTTGAGCAGCTCTGGTTAATCCAAATGTAAAGCTGAAAACTGATGATCTGACTCCATTTTCAAAAATGTTTTAAGTATTGGGTTCTCAGAAAAGTCATTAGGAATTTTCCGTGCAAAAATGTGTCATGACTTTTCCAACAACCTAATATTTTGGAACAGCTAAGGGAGGCTAATCTACTTTGTTCTGGGGTAAACGGGATAAAAGCTAAGCAGATTAAACATTTCCAATTAAAATTCAGTATCTAAAGTAAGATACACTGTACATGTAAAATACACAGCTGGTTTCAAAGGCTTATTACAGAAGAGAGTATGAAATACCTCATTAATAGTTTTTGTCGATTATATGTCCAAATAGCGACATTTAGCTACGCTGGCTGGGCTAGGTGAAAAATCCACTGCAGCGCCGGCTTCTTCTGAAGTGGCTACGGAAAGCTGGCCTTGCGCATGCGACGCCCACGCCACTCCTGTGTGGCAGCTCGGCTCCAGGCCGCACGCCGTCCGCACGCTGAGCAGCTGCACGCTGAGCTAGCCAGGTTAACTACGCTTCCCTAACTTCTTCATAACGTACGTGGGGTACTTACAAACCATGTTTTCTTGGAAAACATGTCACAGGATCTTGAGCCGCCATAATGTATCACAGTACAATGGACTAGATGAGTGTTTTAGAACATGAAGCATTATATTCCATTTGATCCATCTATTTCTAAAGTTAGAATGTCTTTTTAATGTAAAACTATGAAGTATAAACATTTGCCTGTGGCTTAACCTTCATTAATGATTTATCAGTCTAGGAAGTGCACAGTTCCGGGTATAATTAGAAAACTCATGTATGTTCTCACGTGGTTCTTTAAGCAGGCTATTTCTATCTCGAGTTACTCTGCGTCATATACACAACCACAACCAAGCAGCACTGAGCTTACACATGCATCTTGCTCTATTCTAACTTCAGGTAAGGAGGGGCTGCAAGCACTGGCAGCAGGCTGGCTGGCCACGCCCCCAGGGACAGCATGCTGGATGGCCACAGCCCTGGAGGGCTGCACACCCCTGGAGGGCTGCAGGCTGGCCCGCCGCCCCCGGGGGCGACCGTCAGGACGTCGGACTGGTGCTGGCGAAGCCTGAAAAGAGACACGAACACGTCTGTGGGCAACAGAGCTAGCAGCCGACCTTCATGGTCGTCGGAGATGTCACTGGTCCCTTGACTTCAAGACCCTCCCACCTCTGCCGAAACCCGCCAACCTCACTGCCTCATCACCATTTCATGGCCACAGAGGATCCTGGGAGGGCCAGGAGAGCTGGGCGAGTTCCATTTCTGTGCTCATACCCCAGAGCCGGGACACGGCAGCCACCACTGAGCATGGGGACCCAGGGACGATGCCTCACATTTGAGCAGCTCTGGTTAATCCAAATGTAAAGCTGAAAACTGATGATCTGACTCCATTTTCAAAAATGTTTTAAGTATTGGGTTCTCAGAAAAGTCATTAGGAATTTTCCGTGCAAAAATGTGTCATGACTTTTCCAACAACCTAATATTTTGGAACAGCTAAGGGAGGCTAATCTACTTTGTTCTGGGGTAAACGGGATAAAAGCTAAGCAGATTAAACATTTCCAATTAAAATTCAGTATCTAAAGTAAGATACACTGTACATGTAAAATACACAGCTGGTTTCAAAGGCTTATTACAGAAGAGAGTATGAAATACCTCATTAATAGTTTTTGTCGATTATATGTCCAAATAGCGACATTTAGCTACGCTGGCTGGGCTAGGTGAAAAATCCACTGCAGCGCCGGCTTCTTCTGAAGTGGCTACGGAAAGCTGGCCTTGCGCATGCGACGCCCACGCCACTCCTGTGTGGCAGCTCGGCTCCAGGCCGCACGCCGTCCGCACGCTGAGCAGCTGCACGCTGAGCTAGCCAGGTTAACTACGCTTCCCTAACTTCTTCATAACGTACGTGGGGTACTTACAAACCATGTTTTCTTGGAAAACATGTCACAGGATCTTGAGCCGCCATAATGTATCACAGTACAATGGACTAGATGAGTGTTTTAGAACATGAAGCATTATATTCCATTTGATCCATCTATTTCTAAAGTTAGAATGTCTTTTTAATGTAAAACTATGAAGTATAAACATTTGCCTGTGGCTTAACCTTCATTAATGATTTATCAGTCTAGGAAGTGCACAGTTCCGGGTATAATTAGAAAACTCATGTATGTTCTCACGTGGTTCTTTAAGCAGGCTATTTCTATCTCGAGTTACTCTGCGTCATATACACAACCACAACCAAGCAGCACTGAGCTTACACATGCATCTTGCTCTATTCTAACTTCAGGTAAGGAGGGGCTGCAAGCACTGGCAGCAGGCTGGCTGGCCACGCCCCCAGGGACAGCATGCTGGATGGCCACAGCCCTGGAGGGCTGCACACCCCTGGAGGGCTGCAGGCTGGCCAGCCGCCCCCGGGTGATGGAGGAGAGTTCATGCTGCCTCGCTGACCTGGCCGCCCCCGGGTGACAGAGGAGAGCTCACGCTGCCTCGCTGACCCGGCAGCCCCCGGGTGACAGAGGAGAGCTCACGCTGCCTCGCTGACCCGGCAGTCCCCGGGTGACGGAGGAGAGCTCACGCTGCCTCGCTGACCTGGCAGTCCCCGGGTGACGGAGAGCTCACGCTGCCTCGCTCTCCTGGCAGCCCCCTGGGGGACGGGGGGGGGCCACCCGGGCCCACCGCGCCGGG